GAATGTTAACCAAACATTACAAGCTAATGCATTAAAAGGAAAATGTCCAATAAGTTCAACAGTAACAGCTAATGGCATAACAAGACATGCCACAAGACAATCAGTAAATGCGAGTGATGTTAAAAAATAATTAGTGGTATTTTGTAAATGTCTTTCACGTATAACAGCAATGCATACAAGACTATTACCACATACAGTAAATAAAATAACTAAAATAAATAGAAAATTTAATATTTGCTGATAAATTCCATTAATTAAAACTATTCTTTTTTTTAATATAAACTTTTCATATTGATGTTTGTTTCTTTTTATAGAACAAAAAACAGGTCTTATCCATTTCCGTTTTCAGGATATTCATGTATATGACTTTTTTCTTTTATTCCTTTTTGTAGTATTCTTATTAGTAGTGAATGGATTATTATTTTTTTATGAAAATGTCCTTAAAAAGCTGAAATTGCTCATTCAACTAGATTTCTACTTATGAATATTGATCTCTCTTTCTCATACTCATGATTCCATTTTTTTTAATAATGATAACAATAGAGTAACTAAAGATGATTATGCATGAACTTTTTGTTTTTTTTGATAAATAATATACAAATAGTTTCCAGTAATACTAATACCAGTATGAAAACAAAATAAAATAATAATGAAACACTAGCCAGTAACTCTCATCCGATATGTAATCGACTAAATTAAGATTCTGAATCTTTTTTCTTTGAATATCAATAAAAAATTATAACTTACTTGTAACCAATGATAAACTAGCCCATATAGGTTCGATATATCCCAAAAATTGTGCATTATTATTATCGTCACTATTAAAACGTCCATCGTTTCTTGTTTCATTGTTCATCGTTGATGAAAGCCAATGATTCGTAGTCACTAACATCGGATTTCTTTTTTTTGTCTACAAAACGAATAAGTATGGATTTATAAAGTACGTGTGCAATAGACAATAATATGAACGGATGTAGGCGAAGCTATGGTGTGAAGAGTTGACTATGTCCGGATGTCCGTGTCAACACCAATCGTTCGTTCCGACAAGAGGAAGTGAAGAAAAGATATAGAAAGCAAGCAAAAAAAAAAGAAAATGTTACTTCATGATATTGAAAAAATTTTTAAAAAGTAAAAAATATCTATTTGTGTGGGTAGAAACTTTTTATGTGATAAAAAAAAAACATCTGATGATTAGAACTGATAAAATATATATATATATAAATGTATACGCCTATTGCTTTAAGATTATCATCTAAACATAATTACTTTCATGTTTCGCATAGATATTTTATTTAATAATCTTCATAGTTATTGCATGAACATATGTACTTGTGTAATATTCATCTATGCTTCGTTTAAATGAATATCGAATTGTAAAACGAGAACGGGCTTTTGTTCGATCTATTAAATTTCATTTACAGCTTACGACGTAGTTCGACTAACATTCAAGGAAAGTATTGACGGCAACAAGAGTTTCCTGATGGTGTTTCACCAACGTCAAGGACATTAGCCGCCGGCAGCAGTTACATTGGAACATCGACAAATTATCTACTATCTTCTTCTCTTTATTCCTTTTCTCTTTCATTCCAATGGAAAATGAGAGCGTGACAAGCACAACGGGTGATCCTTTCTCATTTATGGAAAGAGAGAGAGAGAGAGACAAGAGATGATAGAAAGATATAGACCGACATATTAAGATAGAGAGAGTACAACTTGAAAAATGAGATTTCATCAATGACACTCGCTAACTAAATGAGGATGTTAGTAAAAGAGAAACAGAGAGAGAACACTAACGCACTTGCGCGATAATCTCATTTCTAACTTCATCAGCAAGAAACTTACATAGATATGAACGAAGAAAGACAACTTGAATATTATTACATCGTATCACCACCGGCATCAACACTTGCAAATAACGACAGAAAAAAAATGCTTATATGTATATATATGCGTAATTCTATCAGTCTTCTTGCGTAACTAGCCAGCCGTAACATAAACGAGAAATCGGACGCTTATGAATCTTAACATCCGATCGTTCAAATAAAGGAAATGAAAAAGAAAAGGAGACTACTAATAAATTCACTTATCGCGACTAGTGTCGGTCCGAGGTCGTCGCGTCACCGCCTGATAATTCATTTCTATGCCTTCTCATTGTTTATAATACATATATATCACAGTGTCTAAAGAAAAGAACGACGACAATGTGACAAATGATGAGTCTTTTCTCTCTCTCTCTCCCTTTATATATATATATATATAAATTGCATGTATTGGTATCTAGTTATATCCACTTTGAAAAGTATCATGTCGTGTCTCATTGCTTGTAATACATGCCAAATATGCAGCCACTACACAAGCTAAAGTACTTAAGCCTGTCAAAATGGCATGTATGATAATAACTGTAACTAAATTTTGATGAAGATCATTTTTCATTTTTTCATCACATAATGGTCTTGATTTATCAATAACATTACAAAAATCAATTTGATTAAATATTTTCTTTGGTCGATTTTTTTCTTTAAAACCACAACATTGCATTTTCATAAAACTAACAAAAAGAAGCAAATAAATATTTAAAACTCCAAACAAAAGAAAGAAAAAATAATATACAAAGTTTTCAAAATACTTACGAATCACGTGTCATATCAACATTTTTTTCATCATCAAGTAATTGTGAACTTGTTACATATTTTTCATAATTATCAACAATTACATTTATAAACCAATTTCGTTTTAAATAAAGTATAATAAGTATTGTTAGAAGTGCCAATGTAATAGGTGTAATAAAGATTATATAGACAGATAAAGCTTTAAAGATATATATATTAATAGAGTTACATTATTAAATACAAATATATTTACCACATTTGGATTGTTTCACTGCACCGATTAGTCCCAAAATGCCAATAAATAATATAATAAAAGCAAGAATAATAACACCGATTACCAAATGAATAGATTGATATTTATTATATTGATATAAACTCAAAACGATCAAGACAATCCCAAATATAATTAACAGACTGTTAAGTATAGATAGAAATGCTTTTGAACATCTATGAGCCATTTTATTAATACTGAGAATAAAAAGAGCGCCAATTATGTATCATTTTCTCTAGTGTCGTATACTGAATTACAACGTAGATTTAAGCGAAAAGAAAAAGGAAAAAAGGCTAGAAGGTCTTTTCTTTCTAATTCTTTAGATAAACTCATTGGACTAGTCTTATAATGAAAAAGAAAACGATCTATTATTTGCATTTATTTACTAAATAGAACTCAGACGATGTTTATATACATGTCGACGAAGGACAAATCTGGCAGTGAACCAAAACAGAAAAAAAAACAATAGAGAGATTTTTCATAAACAAGAACTCAGTTTTTATGAACACTCGTTGTCTTCTGAAAAGATCTCAATGAAATACATTTCTAGTTGACAGTATACTTGTCTTGTTCAATGACAGCTCCAAAGTGATGAAAAGTAAAAGAACAAGAGGAAAAGAAAAAGAAAGAGAATGAAAAACGATCATGGATAACTAAAGTAATGTAGACAGATAATAATGATAGCAATATGACTGAAATCTATCTTGATTATTAGATACACAAATAGAGTAAAAGAGATTAAAGAATGACATTGAGAATAATCAAAGACACAGCAGGATTATTAAGTCAATAGTAGTTTTTTCTTATTTAATAATTCTTGGAGGTTATTATTAATCTATGTTCTAATCATATAGAAAGTATGAAAAAACAGTCATGCTGTTATAATATAATTTTGTTTTTTCGCCTTACTAAAAGAATTTAGTTATCATATTCCAACGTGTTTTTCTATCTTTCTTATAATCAATAATGATAAAACTTAGACCTATGAATTTGATACTACTATTATTACAATATAAACATGAAATCCTTATTGGCATTCGATGACCACAGTAAGAAAATGAGCAAATGACGAATTTCATTGGTGTCAAGAGAACAAGAATGTATGAAAGGGACGAAAGAATAGTAAAAGAAAAAAGGTAATAGACATGGCACATTACCCAGAAAAAGCAGAGTAATTCTGATTGTATGAGATGCTCAAATGCGCACGTGAAGGTGAATAAGCAAAGGCGGCAAAATACACAGTTAGAGAGAATAATATTTGTGCCGGTTACATTCTCTATTTTTTTTCAGTTTGTTCTTCTTGATCCTCATATTGTAAAGCACACACTCTTGGAAAATAGACAGGCTTATGCATCAAGTTCTCATTTCCTTTCGTCAATTTTCTTTTTTTCTGATAAGATATATATATATATATATAGTATATATAAATATTGCTAATCTGCTCTGACGGAGTCAACTTCTTTGTCTCATGTTTTTTTTTCATAGATCCTGATTTTATGATCATCTACCTCGTTAGCTAGATGCTATTACCAAAGGAAAGAGGGATAGTTATATCTATGACATTTGATAATTCGTCGATCGATGAGTAAAAGAAAGAACGTGTGTTGAAATATTGAGCGATAGCTTTGTCCTTATATAGATAAATGTACCTTCGATGGCCTGATTCTCCTTCACGCTTCTCGTATAAATTGAAAAAAATGATAACTTACTTCTCAATATTATATAACTAATGGTTTTGAAATGATGAAAAGAGAATACTCATATATATATCGATATATAGATATCAAGGTCTTTAGTTCATATTCAATGTTTAAATATAAACAAAGAGACATGAAGATTGCGTATAATCAAGGCTATTCTTGAATTTTTTCAAGCATGAAGAAAAAAAGATGAATGTACCATTTCTAAGAAATCAAAAAATAAAGATACCATGTTGTTGAGTGTTATTACAGCTGTCAGGTGTTTTTTTTTATTATTTAACATGGTATATTCTGTATGACTTAATATAAATAGGATTGGAAAAAAAGAAAATATGAATTCCAGAAAAATTCACATGGATAAAAGAGAAGTGATCGTATTTATTAATGATTTGTTCCTGAGTTCTTTTTTTTTGAAAAATATTAAGAAACGCGTACAGTCGGAGCATAAACTGCTCGTCCAGTGAGATTCACTGTAGGTGCATATGCTGATCGTACCGCAGCAGGTCTATAATAAGCTGGTGTTACATAAACTGGTTGTCCACCAGCTCCGGAAGTAGAAGGTTGTGGAAATGCAGAAACAACTACAGGTCGTACTACAGTCGGGCCATAATATCGAGGCATACGTTGAGCTATATATTGTGAAAGTAAAGATGGTGCTAGTGGACCTGGTGGTGGATACGGATATGGCATCATTCCAGGTCGCACTCCATAAGGCGGTATTCCAGGAATCATATTCGGTGGTGCTAGATTTTGCTGACCACCCTGGGGACGCCGACTATAACTATGTGTTGCTATATTACCGAAACCATATCGTTGGTATAAAAATGCAGCAATTATAAATAGAATTGCAGCTATAAATGAAAATATAATTGTTGGAACCATAAGCCAAAAACCATAACGCTTATAGTAATTTGTAATACCTTGTAGTTTAGAAAGAGAATTTGATTGTTCACCAAATATTGGTAAACCAATAATAATCATCAGAAAACCAAGAAATGTTAAGATACCAGCCACATAACATAATAGTGGAAGAATAGCAGCAACTATACCAGTGATAAGACCCAAAGACAGAAGTATCATACCAGTAGTCATAAGACCATCGGCAGTACTAATAAAATTTGGTCGACTACCATTATATATTTGAGTTGCAGCAGTTCCCCAATGTTTACAAACAGTGCTATAAAATGGAGGTGCTTGTTGACAATATGCCCAAAGACCATAAAATTCTTGTGTAGTACCATTATTACGTGTAAATGCTTGCCAATCAGGAACACCAAAACCAATCCATCCTAACAAAAGCCAAAAGAAATATAATATATATATATTTCACTTTGTAATCTTCAATCTCTGTCTAAATTCATACCAAGAAGAAAAGCAAGAAATGCAAAACCGAGAGCAACCGCCAATAAAATTTTCCAAAGTCCTGGACGCTCGTAGAACTTTTGCTTTGGCTTAATCATTATGTCAAAACCGTTTTAAAAATTTAATAAACTATAATATTATGACGTGTGCTGTTGTTTTTTTTGTACGCTTATGCGTCTACACTATCATCAAGAAAAAAAAAAGGAAAAAAACTATGTTAAAGTAACGATAGTGCGAGTAAAATATTATGAATATCGGAGAAAAACACGGCTGACATATACTATAAACAACGTGTACACAAGAGTTACTGATGCATGTCCAACAGAACAAAACATAAAAACAAATATTATATAAATAGATTAAAATCCTCCAAAGTCATACGCTATTATTATCAAACAGAAGGGAGAGAAGAAAAGAAAAGTGGTTCTAATTGGTAATAATCATTCAATAGATTATTCTAATAGAAATCAATAACCTTGAAAAAATTATGTTGTATTGAATGACTCATTCAAATTGATATTTTGTCCTTTTCTTTCCTTTCAAAAAAAAAATCATGAACAGTCATCGATAGACAACGAAAACAGGAACCTATTTTGTGGTAAACATTAACAAATTACCTGTTAACCAAAGAAAAAACATTTGATTGATGTTTAATTATTATATAAAAAAGTTTTCAACAAATATAAATGAATAATAGCATGTTATTAATAGACATATATGACGAAAAAATATTGTCAATGTTCTAATGAGAATATTGCGAGCTGTTAACACTTAATAAAGAAAGACGTTAGATAAAATGCAAAGACAATTACTATTTCCTTCAATTCCAATGACAATATATTATCTCATAAGATATCATTAATTAAATATTAACTTTGAATTCATATTTGTATTACTAATGAACTCTTTGATCATATAATAAACAATATCTATATTGAAGATTGAAAAGATACGGCATACATTTATTAAATATAAAAACTTTTTGGCAAATGATTTTATATTGAACTACAAACAATGTTTTATACGTTATTGAATTTTAATTATGATGGAAGAAGTATTAAAGTTTCTATATCGACAATGTGAATTTTACATGTTTGTTTAACTTCTTAGTTGTGAAAATATCATTAGACAATGAAAATACAATTAATTCTTTGTAGATTTGTTTAATGAAAGACTTATTATTGCAATTTAGTAAGCAAACTTCTTACTATGAAAACTTATAGTTTAATAGTAACATAAAGAATACTTCTAAATTCATTATTAAGTGATAATTGCATAAATATTACTTTCAATTCATGTCAATTCAAATGATAATTATCTATTCTGTTTTGTTTTCTCGTAATATTCCTTTTACTAAATGAATTCAACACGTACATGAAAAGATTTGATGTGACTGATCTTCAGTGACAATACTTAATTAAAAGTGTTTGAATGAATACTCTGCAATCGGTGCTTGACTACATGAGACATATTTGTACTGTTCTCAACGAATTTTCATTCTATAGGGCTGAAACTTTCAGAGTAAGTTAAGTAATCAAATATGTACCTATGGTATAAATATGAGCCCTAACTGACAAAGTATTAGATAAAAATCGAAAAAATACAGTTTTTCCTTACTTTTGCGCCACCCTGTATATACATGCAACTCGACTGCAAATATGTTTAATGAAAGCAAGCATTAACGATACTTTATTTAACATATGAACTCTAGTTCTCAGATTAACAAATATATTACTAATAAAAGTACTGAATTCAGAGGATTCGTTTGTTGAATTGTTTCTAACAGAGTATCGACAAAAGTATCCTCTTACTAGGATATCACAGTTACTTGATCTATACTTGGTAAGTACAAGCAATGCTCTACGTTGTTATATATTTACACAGATTAATTAATTGAACAGCTGGAAGCCTGTTATTTCTGAATACCCAAGCTCTATTCACATAGATGAAAGTGTACAAGTACTGGAAAATATCTATGACATACTGATTGCAGGGTGCTTGACTACATGAGACATATTTGTACTGTTCTCAACGAATTCT